ATATGTTTTATAAAATATTGCCATTGGAAATATAAAAATTTTAAGGATTTTGTTGTGATATAAAATTTTAATATTAATTATAAAAATTTGTTTAATATTTTATGATTGCTTGTTACATTACATTTAAATAGTCCGGACAATGCTTATTTTATTAAGTATAAAATTGTATAAAAGGACTAAATTGTACAAATGGACGCTTATACGTTTACGACGCTTATACGTTTATGGACGTTTATACGTTTACGACGCTTATACGTTTATGGGACGCTTATACGCTTATACGCTTATATGTAGATTTTATAAAATTCCTCCATTGGGTCAACATAAGACCAATAGACTTCCTTAGTGTTTTTTAACATCTATTTACTCTGTATGTAAATTAAATTGAAGGTCACCATTCTAATACTGATGAATTAATCTTAGATACATGCATAGACATATATTTTCTAATAACATTACAAACTAACATATTTATTAGGCTGCATATTTATTGCATATTTTATTATATTACATTTATAATATTGTATATTTTCTAATAAAATTAAAATTTCCCATTTTTTTAATATTTCATATTTTATTATGTTATATACTTATTATATATTTTATTATATTATATTTATAGTAATAGTTTTAAATATTATTACTTAAAAATATAATTGTGTTTTATAATAAGACTTATTTGCATGTAAAGATTTTATTATTCAGTTTAGATACCAGAAGTAACTATTCTAACAATCAATGCAAATATTTATTTTAACATTTTAATTTTTAATTTTATCTTTTAACTATAAACACTTAACATATTATAAATTCTAAAATATACATTTATACATTTATATTTTCTAATAACATTATAAACTAGCATATGTTATTATGTTACATATTTATTGCATGTTTATATTACATTTCTAGTAATAGTTTTAAGTAATCTTTAAAGGAAAATATAAATGTGTTTTTTTATAACATTATGTGCTTGTAAAACTTTTATTATTCAGCTTAAATACTCAGCAGTAACTATTCGAAAAAACAATACAAAAGTTTATTTTTAACATTACTTTTTAATTTTAACATATTTTATCTATAATGCACTTTATCTTAACATGATATAAATTCTAAAATCAATATATTTCTTGCATGGAAAAAAATTCATAACACACAAAAACTTTCAAACACAAACATTCTACAAGCAAGATTTCTTTTCCTTTTCTCATGAACTTTTAAACGCGGGACAAATTAAATGAATCCAAGACTGTTAATCTTGGCCCAAAATAACGTTAGGATGTTGCGCGCAGGTTATCCCTGTACATAGATGTCTGCAAAAGAAAAATTATTATATTACATTTATAACATTACATATTTTTAATAACATCTTCTATAATCTAACAAAAGTCTTATTTTACATTTTTACAGTTCAATATTGAAACCAATCGATTTTCAAAATTATATATTTCAAGCAATATTACGTTTAAAGAAAAATATAATTGCGTTTTGAAAAACAGTTTGGGGCTTGTAAAGCTTTTATTATTCATTTTAAATACCTAGTGGTAAATATTATGTTTATTTTAACATTACTTTTTAATTTTAATATCTTTTATCTATAAAGCACTTTTATCTTAACATGATATAAATTCTAAAATCAATGTATTCCATATTTAAAAAAATTCTAAGCAAAACAAAAACTTTCAACACAAACATTCTACAAGTAAAATTCTTCCTTTTTCTCAAGAACTTTTAAATGCACCCCAAATTAAATTTGATCTAAGGCTGTTAATCTTGGCCCAAAAATAACGCTAGGATATTGCTCTCAGGTTATCCCTGTACATAGATGACTGAAAAGAAAAAGAAACATCTTCAGTAATGAAGCCCTAAGAACATTGCTCTATGCAGTCATGAATAATAATCATGAATACATTTCCCTAACTTTATGCTTCTCTCGGAATCTACTTCTAACGTTAACAGAAAAATAAATCTGCAGAAAGAGAGATCAAGAAAAGGAACTTCTTTCAGAAAGCAAGTGTGGATCACCTCTTCAAACTTTACAAAGATTAACTCGAAAGTTTGGTCTGTACTTAAATGTGCAAATATAAATCCTTTTAAGGGTTGAAGTAAGTAGGTCATATTAAAAAGAGCTTTTGGATTGTTTAAGTAGAAAAATAATGATCAATCACTTTTAAGTATGAAGGAATTTATGTTGAATGGAGTGCATGTAAAATTTTAGATTGATAATTAATAATTAATCTATTATGTCTGAATTAAATGAAATTTAACATAGTTATTAATCATAATAAACTTCATATTTATTTTTAAAAAGTTATTAATAATTAATCATATGTCAGAATTAAATCAAATTTAACATATTGGTAATTACACATAAACTCCATAATTATTTTTAAAAAGTTATGAATAATTAATCCTTTTATGTCAGCATTAAATCAAATTTAACATTGTTGAAATTATACATAAAAATTCCATTATTATCACTCAAAAAAAATTTTATGTTTAGTTTTGAAACTTAAATTTAACATACATAATTTAAAAAAATATATATCATAACAAAATCATTAAACTTACAATGTTTCAAATGATACTATTTAATAAAATATGTATTTGAATGAGATATAAACAGTATACCATTAAATAATATAGAATTAATAGTAAAAGTATATTTTAATAATCTCTAATTTAATAATAAATTTTTATGCATATCAACTTTATTATTTTATTTTTTGCTTAATTATATTTAATAACTATGTAATAGATTTTTTAATTTTGTTATGTCTTTACATTATTTAATAGTCTATTAACAATTAACGAACGAATGAATAAATAACCAAACTGTTGAAAATTATTAACATATTTTCCCTCCAAATAATTTGTTATAAGTTGAATAATGATGCATCTAATAATAAAATTTATTGTTTTTGTTTATTTTAATAACATTTAAAAGTCTTTAATCATTTCCTTTCAAATTTTTAATTTCAAGATAATAAAGTATTGAAAATGCAAAGACTTTTTAAAAGTACAATAGATATTTCAATTTCTTTGTGGTTATTTATTGCAAAGTACTAAATCATTCTTTGCATTAGATAAAAATTTATGTAAATAATAATAAAATAACATAATGCATCAAATTCCATTCAAAAAAGATTGTGTAAGCCTTTGATAATGAGAAAAAATTAGATTAAAATATCGAAATTTTTTAAATTAATAAAATATTTTTAAAAAATTGCATATCACAATTTATTGCTTTAAACAAAAACATTAAATCAGAGCTTCAAATTAAATATATGAAATAATTACAAACAGCATAACCATATCTGAAATAAGTACCCTGTTTATAATTTATTTTAATTAAGGGAATAAACGTGATAATTATCATCTAATCTCTCTATCTCTCTCAAATAAATGGAACTATTTGAATCAGATCCATTAAAACTGCACAATTCTACAAAATTTAAAAAAGGGCTTAAAATGTTGAAACTGTTAAGATTTAAATGGTACCATGAGCTTTTTTTTTAAATTGAAGATTTGAGTGAATTAGTGTTCTCTAATGCTATTATACAACTGAATCTAGGATCAAAAGATTTAAAAATCGGGACTTACGTAAATGTTTCTATTCACAAACATGAAAGTCAATTTCTAAAGCAGACATATAATTTTAAATTGTTTTAATACCGATTAAGTTTCAAAACAAATGCATAAATAAGCAATGTACAAATAAGCAATTTTAAATTATTTCGCTAGAGAGAATTGTTTCCAAGTTTTTTATGGATAGCATTATGTTTTATTAAATACTAAAGAAATTATTTTATGCTTTTTGCTTTGATTTATGTTCAAACCAATTATTAATCTTTCATTTGATATTGAGGGATAGAAAATTTGTATTCATTGCTGGTTTTTTAGATTAACTAGTTACAAGCATTGAGACGTTACATTAGAACAATTCAATAATACCACTATTTCTAGAAATAAATAATTGGAACTAAATATAATCCAAACTTACAATGAAGAAAAACTAAATATGAAACAAGGATAATTTTAAATCATTTCTAATGATACTACACAAGACATTTTGGTGAATTTAATGAATCAAATTGATTGGTGTTAATGCCGCCCATTGAATGCAATCAAACCAATGATGTTTGTTTCTGGTAAAAATATATAAATTGCATTTTCGTTTAGAATTAAGCTTCTTCAATTGAGCTAAATATACTCCAAACCTTTAATGAACCAAAACATAAATGCCACTCAACTAAGTCATCTTGGGAGATAGCAGAATACATCCGAAAACACTTTTGCCACATATCTTGAGACATTTTCTTCATATATATCCGAGAAAAGAGACAAAACCAAAAGAAACGTTCCTGTTAGTGCAATCAAGGAAAAAGGAAGGGAAGTAATTCGGTTTGACATAGACTTGTAAAAAGCAGTAATCAGAACTTTTTTGATGAAAAAAAAAAAAAAAAAGAACGAATGTCTTAAAGAACATGAAAAGTTGAAAGACACATTTCTTACTGATAAAATTAGTTTTTTATTTTTCGTCATTCAGAATTTCATTATTAAAGATACTTGCAAGCACTGCGTGAAAAAACAATTGATAAGTTCAATAATAATTAAATATAACATTTAAGTTTGTATAACTGATTTGAAGTTTTTTAGTTTTTTATTTTCGAATAAGTCTTTTTATATATTCTAATATGAAAGGTGTTGTTTGTTGTTTTCTTATCCCACTTGGCTGGCCAAGCCCACGAGCCCATACGTACTCATGATTGAAGGGAAGGAAGCAGCTTCTATTGTGATGGAGCACCCGTAGGTAGAAGTCTGACTTTGGCTCCGTGACGCTCTTTTACAGTCATAGGAGACCGGGACCTACGGCTTAAAGTGGATTCCGAACCACTACAAACATCCATGGCACCGCCGGGATTCGAACCCGAAACCTGTGGCACCGAGCGCCAGAGCGCTAGACACTCGGTCATTCAGGTCCCAAATTTGTGAATGCCAACGGCACGCGGTGTTCCCAGCTGGTTACTCACCCAAGTACTGACCGCGCAAATGATGCTTGACTTCGGCAGATCTAACGAGAACCGGTATATTCACCATGGTATGGCGTTGGCTTGTCTGATATGAAAGGTAGTGAATGAAATGCAACTCAAAATGAAAGTTGAACTGCGTAGTTTCCTGAGTTCTGTTTCCTCAATCTGATAATCTAAAATTCATTCAAAAGTTAGTGCATTTTTATCATCTCCACCTAGTCACTATTCGTTTTAAATAAATAAAATGATACTATCCATTAATATACAAAACAAGTAATATAAAAAAAAAATTTAAAGTCAATTCCTACTTTTTTTTCTTTATATTGCAGAAAGTCCCCTTATAAATAATTTTCATTCATTTTTTTTTTAAGTTTATCTGCCGCCATCTATTGGTAGATACATGCAACTTAAACTAAAAAAACTAAAATTAATTAATTAAAGTTAATTACTGAATTAATATTTGAAAAAACTGTATTAACATCCAGTGTTATCCACTACAAGTTAAAAATGTATTTGAACTTGAGTGGATGAATAAAAAATGTATGTATTTTATGAACGATTGAAAATTTGAACAAGATATATATAGGGAGAGTGTGAGCTATTAGAAGGAATTGAAAAAAAGTAGAAATCTCAAGATGGCATTGGATTGCGTCATAGTAGTTTTCTGAATTTTGTCCTGTTTCTATCCCATCTGATAATTCCCTAAAACTCCCTTAAAAAGGCAATGTTTTTAATCATATCTTCCTAGCTTCTATTCGTTGCATTAAATGGAACACTATCCATTAATATACAAAAAGATATGCTTGTTGACCACGTAGAACATTTGAGTAGAGGAATTTCAGTTCGAAACTCGAGAAAACTATTGGAGACGATTACGTAAGTACGTACATAAGCACATTATATTTTAAAGCTGAATAGTTCCTCTATTGTTTTAAGGGTGATCCCATTTCTCTATGAAATTATTTTTCATGGGATAACTCTTTAGAACAGAAATGACCACACATTGGTGAAAAAAAATGATGATGATGATAATTCGTTCATTGAGACGATAATTCGTTCATAAATGATATTGTAACAATGATTCGTCTAAAATATTCATTAGCTTTTAATGACTAATGCTGACTAGCCAAACTAGCTATGTGATCCCATTATCCATGAAAAGGATGTTTTCCCATGGGGTAACTGTTTAAAACAGAAATGATCACATTGGAAAAAAAATTTGAAAATTTGAAAATTTAAATTTTTATAAAATTTTTTTATCTAGATGAACAATTAAGTTTTAAATGCATAATCAACCAAAATATTAAGATTTAAGTTTTACAACTAATGCTTTAAAAGAGAAGCAATGCAGCTGTTAAGTAAAATGTGTTATTTGAATTTTTGTTCTGTTTCAATGCTAATGGATTTTAAATGGGTTTTCTGTTTTGCTGAAAAGCAATTTATGTTTCTTGTCTTAGGGAATATGAAGCGTAGTTAGAAAAGCTGCGAAACTATTATTAAGATATACATTCTTACATATTAATTTAAGTTTATTACCATAATAACACATTTAAATAATTATAAATGTAGAATTTATAACCTCATAATGCAATGCTAATCTTGATTCATTAATATATATATGGTTTATAGATTATTACCTCATAAATCATCCAGCAAATACATTGATGGAGGCAAACGTTAAGAAAGATCAGATAGCAGACAGTCAAAGCAATTATTAATTGTAAAATGGCACTGATTATAACTACTGTCATGGGAACAGAATTATTTGAATAATATGGAAATTAGAGTCAATTTAAATCAAATAGAATGATAATTTTAAAAGCAGTAACTTCTTGCTCGTAAATTTCACAAAAATATTTATAAGATTCATCATGTATTACAATATATATATATATATATAGATAGATAGATAGATAGATAGATATACTTATTTATTTCATTTTAAATATGTATATTTATTTAATTTTTTGAATTATAATGCATATATATTTATTTTAATGACGATAGAGGAGAATTTTTTTATATTTGAAAGATAAACATAAATATTTTGGAGCATAAAATTATAAAATGAATAAATAAATTATTTAAGCATTTTTAATAAGTGCAGAATTTTCGAAAGAAGATAAGCATTGAAATTAAGACTACTAGTATTTTTCAAAGAATAAAAAAATGTTTTACACCAAAAGACAGTCCTAAAAAATAAATGATTCAAGAAATAAAAGAAAATCATTAAATATTTTAATGCAAGGTTCCGATGGTATGCATTTTTGAAAATATTCGATATAACTTAAACTTGTACCATGTGAATTTCTAAAATTAAACGTTAGAAGAAAAATTATGCTTCATTTAACTATGAGAACTAATTTTTTTTTTTTTTACGTTTTTAATTAATCAAAAATGCAAACCTTTTCCTACTTTATTTCTTTTTTGTAATTAAAAAAAACTAATTAAATTTCCCAAGATAATATTCGAATCATTAATTTAAAAATATTTAAAAAGAAGCTAAATGCAATCGATTCATTGCGCCACCGAGACACATATATCATTAATTAATGACTCAATGGAAATACTTAAGCGTTTTTCGAATACTTCAAAAGATAAAGTCATTCATCATTGATTACTTTTGCTTTGCATTCGCCCAGCGTTAAAAAATATGGTTTCCTTTATTGATCATCAAATAATACCTCACACAAAACTTACAAATAAGAATTGCTGTCATGTATTCTAAGCTGTTAAAATAATTGGTTGTTTTCATAAGTGCAAGAGCGATGTATTCAAACACCTTTTGTAACAATCACTAAAATTGCTTTGGAAGATTCAAGTACCAATTGAAGTAGAAATAGTGCAGATATCCATTTTAGTAAAAATAGACTTAACTTTTGAACTTATCTTTGAAACAAAATTGCATGATTGTAATACTGGTTATTATTGACAATAATAATCTTTTAAATGTCTATCAATAAATGAATCGTTTTTGAATAAATTTTAAACATACTATTTTAATGGCTGATCAATAAAATAGTTTCAAATTATAAACCGTTTTTTCTTTTTTTGCTTAAAACAGAATCATCAATTTTACTACACTTTCTCCAATTATTTCGTTACAAAAGTATGAGTAAAATATGTATTGAATACATGAAATAATATTTATCCCCGTTCAACTTTCCCCTCCGCTGTAAACTGTATTACCTTCTTTGCGGATGAGCATTTATATCGAGAATTCGCAATTTTCGCTATAAAACAGACAGGCGACAGTCTATGCATTCTTCCCTTTCTCTCTTTTTTTCCATTCATTTTTTTTTTTTAAATCTCCATTCTAAACATTGCTGAATATTACCATTTCCAGGAGAAAGATCACGAAAAGTTTTTCGGTCTTTCATGAATAAGTAGAAAAGGTTCGAACGGGTCTTCCGCCGAAGTTTAGCCTAAAAACAATACATCCTTATCAATTCCTAAAAATAAATGTGTTACGGTAGCTGGGAGGAATGGGGGTACAACAACTCAAACAAAAGTAGAATAAAAAAAAAAAAAAAAGATCTAAATAAGTAAACAAAAATTAAATAGCATAGGATAGGGAAAAAGGAAAACACTGTAGTTTAAAAAATGGCCGAATATACGAGAGCGGACCGATCATAAATAGAGCGTAGGGGATGCATTTTTTCTTTCTTTTTTTCAGTTTAGTCAGGAAGATCACGGAGGAAAAATCTTGGTTCTGGAGCATAGATGCCATTGCTGGAGAACATCATCATCCAGTCAAGATTAATGGACCACTTCAGAAGAATATCTGGACGTAAGAGAAGAATGGTAAAAGAAAAAAAGCAATCATGTGTTGGGGGAGAGGTAGCAGTAAATGTCTCATCTGCAAACGTAAAAAGAAAGAAGAGAGAAAAAAAAATGTTGGAAGAGAATAAGATTTCGCAATGTCAAAAGGATGGAAAAGAAAACTTCTGGGGTCCCCCTCTTTTAGGATTTTTACCAGCCTGGATGGTTGGTAAAAAAAACCTCCACCATAGTATAGAAAAGGAAGCGTTTTGGCGACCGAGATAAAAAAACTTATGACCAAAGTGGGAAAAGTGTCCGTAATGGGGCACGAAAAACACTTTGGTTTCTGACCGGAGACGTATAAATTGCTGTAGTGCTGATAAGAAAACTGTGAAAATGAAGAATTCGTTTTGTGTGGGGGGTGTGGCAGGGGTGGGCAAAGGGGTGGATGATGGTATCGCCCGGAGGGAGTTGGAACGCCTGATTTTACGTAGAAGGGATTTGCGTACGATGTTCGTAGATATTGGCTCTTCGTAGAAGGAAGTCACTTCCCAGTGTTTCAGTCTGAAACCTTTTTAGACATTTTCAATACGATCTTTCTTCTTTTTATAGATCGATTTTTTTTTTTCTTCTGTTTATCTCATTGATTCTGAAGAATGAATTGAATCGATGAGATAAAAATGGAAATTTTATTAATGGAGTATTAAGAATTCAATTTTCTAAAATTTACGTAGCCATTTTTAAGGAAACTTTGAAGGGATAATTGATAATTTCATGATAGAGGAAATTTCGATTATGTTTGTTTGTTACGTTAAATTACTTTTTATTACAATTAAATAAGATTTTTCGATTTCGACATTTTGATTTCTATTTTTTTTTTTTTTTTTTCACTTACAGAATTTGTTTGAAAGTTTTAAATGAATGATACTTTATGATAATCAGATAAACTTTAAGTTAAATAAATCAGTTTTAATTTTTCTGTTAGTCATAATGTTTTTATTTTCATTTCATTGTTTTCATTCAAGAAATTGTTATGAAGATTGTATATAAACAGTTTATAAATTATTTTATTACATTAAATAGTTATATGTTTAAATACTATCGTTTGCAAGTATAACACCCTTCTTTTTGGTACTTCTTCAAATTTTGTGTTTAAAAACAGTGTTAAATGTACTTATTTAAAAAATTTTTAATTATTTTTTATCTACCATGGATCTATAAATTAACAGATAAATGCTAAATATCTTGTATCGCAATATATGTGCTTATAAAATTAAATTCACTTCTGAATGTAAAGATTGACTGTTTTATAA